CACATGTGTCCGGCTGCTGGCTGGTGCGGGCCACCTTCCCTCCATGCGTCTTTGGTAAATGACAGGCTTAGTTCAGATTTCGAGTTTCTGCGTGGCCTTTTTCCCTAAGCAACTGCTTACAATGTGACCCAGCTAACGCCTATGGATTGAGCACGTGCTACGTCCAGCCAGGGCTACATCCGTGTTACTTCACTGAATTCTCCAGCACGCCCTGTGAAACAGGTGTTACTGTTCTCCTCGTACTCCATGAGGAAATGAAATCTTTGAGCAGTGACAAAGCCAGGGTTCCTTTTCTTTTGTTGTTAAAGATTTATTTATTTGAAAGCACAGTGTAAGAGAGAGGAGTGTAAGAGAGAGAGAGCCGGTGCCGCGGCTCACTAGCTATCTCGCTGCGGCGCCGGCACACCGGGTCTAGTCCGTCGGGGCGCCGATTCTGTCCTGTGCCCTCTCAGCAGCTTTTGCTGTGCAGGAGTGCAGTGGAGGATGGCCCAAGTGCTTGGGCCCTGCACCCCATGGGAGACCAGGAGAAGTACCTGGCTCCTGCCATCGGATCAGCGCGGTGCGCAGGCCGCAGCGCACCGGCCGCGGTGGCCATTGGAGGGTGAACCAACAGCAAAAGGAAGACCTTTCTCTCTGTCTCTCTCTCTCTCTCACTGTCCACTCTGCCTGTGAAAAAAAAAGGACAAAAAAAAAAAACAACACAGAGAAGATGAAATGACTTGGAGGGACTTTACTCTCAAGAAAACCAAGAATGTTGTGTTGGGCTGTGTGCATGTATGAATTCTGGTTCATCTAACATTGACTTTCTTTATCACTGCAGCATTTCTCTGACTAGCAACCTGATAATATAACACAGGAGATCTTCTCATTTAGTAACAAAACGTTGTGTGATGAAATAACTGGAGCCACTGTTGTGGCATAGCAGGCTAAGCTGCCACTTGTGACACTGGCATCTTATGTTAGAACACCAATTCAAGTCATGGCTGCTCTACTTCCAATGTGGCTTCCTGCTAACATGCCTGGGAAAGCAGTGGAAGATGGCCCAATATGTGGGCCCCTGCCACCCAGGTGAGAGACCTGATGGAGCTCCTGGCTCCTGGCTTTGGCCTAGTCCAGACCTGGCTGTTGTTGCCATTTGGGGAGAGAATGAGCAGATGGAAATTTCCATGATTCCCTCTCTTGCTTTGTCACGCTGGCTTTCAAATAAGTAAATACAACTCTTAAAAAAGAGATCGATGAGGGGCTGGGGCTGTGGCACAGTGGGTTAATCCTCAGCTGCGGCACCGGCATCCCATATGGGTGCCGGTTCTAGTCCCAGCTGCTCCTCTTCAATCCAGCTCTCTGCCATGGCCTGGGAAAGCAGAAGATGGCCCAGGAGACTGGGAAGAGGCACCTGGCTCCTGCCTTTGGATCGGCACAGATGGTCGTTGTAGCCATCTGGGGAGTGAACTAATGGAAGGAAGATCTTTCTGTCTCTCCCTCTCACTATCTGTAACTCTACCTCTCAAATAAATAAAATCTTTTTTATAAAAAGAGATGGATGAAAATAACTAATCATTTGATCAGGAAACAGGAATCAGACGACTGACGCTATAAAGCTCTGGATTCATCTGGATTCATTCAGAACAGTGGATTCCTTTATTCTGCCCCAGGATTTGGCTTATACTTAAAACTGAGTTGAATTGAGTCTAATTTAACTTAAAAGCAGAAAAATAAAACATAACAAAAAATGTAAAAGCTCCAAGTAAATGTAAGTATCTTACTAAGTGATTCGGAATGAAAGCTCAGAAAATGAAGACTTGCACACACACCTGGCCATGGTAATAACAGGTCTCTCTCCCCCAGAGATATTTTAATACTCCCTTCTCCAAATAAGGGACATTAGGAGTGAACTAAACTGACTAACGCTACCTTTATGCTTTAGGGAACAATGTTCTTTCCTCTCCAAGCTATTCTTTCATTTCTTACCAGGAGCGGCCCACCCCTAGCTTTAATTACCACAATTAAACTAGTGTTCAGTTACACAGTGTGAAGGTACATTTATAGTTGGCAGGTGCTTTATGGTTTTTAAATGGCAAGAAAGCATAACAATACTATGAAGTCAACAGTGTGTTTTCATGGTTTCCTAGTAGCTTTTCTTTTTTAAATGGGGTGTAGAGGAGATGAGAGCCTTTTAATTCTTTTTCTAAAATTTTAACTTACTTGAGAGGCTTTGAAAGAGAGACAGACAGAGCAAGCTCACATCCACTGGCACACTTCAGAATCTATCAGGGCTGGGGCTAGGTCAAGACGGAAGCCAGGACTCAGGAATCGAAGCCGAGTCTCCCACAGGAGCAGCAGAAACCCAGTTATTTGAGCCATCACCACTGCCTCCCAGGATCTGCCTTAGCAGGAAGCTGGAGTCAGGAGCCAGAACTGGGCATTGAACCCAGGCTCTGCAGCAGGGGATGTGGGCATCTCAACCTCCAGGCCAAATGGCCATTCCCCTCGATTCAACAGCAAGCAGTGGTGTTGCCGGTGGGCTGATGTGGGTTCCAATCCAGTCAATTTGAAGCTGTCTTGACGCTGTAGTTAATCTGAACTGTTTCCACAGGTGCACGAGGAATGCCCACCTTCAGTATGAGGATGGTGAATCTCAGAGCAGTCGCTGCAAGGATTAAAAAGTCACTCTCTGCTAGGTACCTGGCACAACAAACAGTGGTTTCTGCCCCAGTTTCCCCTGGTTACCATGTTGCAGTCTGCAGAGGGTTCATTCACAGCAGTCAGCAGTTTAGAGAACCCCTAAGGAGAAGCACTCAATGTCAAAAAAGGCCTAGTCATGACTTAGACACATTTATTCAGAAAACAGTCATTGAGCACCTATCACAGCCAGGTGATGTGTCAGGTGCGGGGGGTAGGATGGTGAGTAAAACCAGGGCGCCTCAGCTATGGCGTCTGCAGCACAGCAGGGAGGCAGATCTTCACCGAATCGTTTATACGAATGTAAAACTGCAGCAACCAGGGCTGGGAAAGGGAGCCTCACTCCAGCGAGGGCCGAGAACCATGCTGGGCCTGCTCAGAGAGGTCAGGGAAGGCTTGTGCCTTCAGTGACTCTTGGGTCGGGATCTATAAAGTAAGTACCAAAGAGAAGAATGGCGAGTGAGCTAGGTGGCGGAACCAGCAGGTGCAAGGACCTGTGGCAGCAGGGAACACATGTGTGAGGTGGGCTTGAGTAATGACCTGTGTGGGTAGAACACAGGGTTTTGAGGAGTGCCGTGTGCAAGTGATGCTGGGGAGCTCAGTAGGGGCCAGAGCAGACAGGGCCTTGAAGGCCACCCCACATCACACTCGAATCTTTGCAGGGGTTTTGATTAAAAGCAGACTGGAATGTCCGCTTGTGGTCCGCTCGTGAGCAGCAGAACTGCCACCAGCTGCAGCTACGTGTGCCTCCAAATCATTAAAACCGGGCATGGGAGCCAGTGCCGTGGCTCACTTGGTTAATCCTCCGCCTTGCAGCGCCGGCATCCCGTATGGGCGCCGGGTTCTAGTCCCAGTTGCTCCTCTTCTAGTCCAGCTCTCTGCTATGGCCCGGGAAGGCAGTGGAGGATGGCCCAAGTGCTTGGGCCCTGCACCTGCATGGGAGACCAGGAGGAAGCACCTGGCTCCTGGCTTCGGATCTCTGCAGCGTGCCGGCCGTAGCGGCCATTTAACAGAAGGAAGACCTTTCTCTCTGTCTCTAACTCTATCTGGCAAATAAATAAATAAAAAAAATAAAACCGGGCAGATGCTCGCTTGCCCTCTCCCACTGCTGCTCTGGGCCCCGACTCCCGGGCAGGGCAGGGCAGGGCAGGGGAGTGCACCCCTCAGACCTGGCTGAAAATTGTGGTAGGGTAGGGAGCATAGTCCCAAACCTCCCTAAAAACTGCCCCCAAGATCTGGTGCGTCCTCCCACCCTCAATAGCCGAGGAAATGGAGGCATACATAAATTCTGAATAATCTACGGCAATCATCTACATTCTCAGGTCAAAACATTTGCTGTCACCGTGTTAGGATTTCATCTCAAATCCGAACAATCTGCAGAAGAAAATCTTCCTGACCTCTGGCCAGCTCCCCTCTGATGACTCCCTCAGTGTGGTGCTTCCGACAGTGGTCAGAGCCACCGCTGGATTCCACGGGAGCTGGAGCTCAGATCAAAGACAGGACCTTCTGACTGAGGCCGCAGGGGTGCCAGCGCAATGCTCCTGTGATCACCCTGGGCTTCCACACGGCAGGGCTACGTGGGAGCTGACAGCAGCAGAGAAACAGTCCGAGGTCTGCCGAGCCGGAGGGTGGGGGCAGAGCCGCAGGAGCAATGTGATGCGACCGCCGTTCTGGCCCCTGTGTATCTGCCAGCCGGATGGCCTCCAGGTGCATCCTGGTCCCTCCGCTGGGCTCCGCCCTGAGAAGCGTGGTCTCCATTCACTCCTGGTGATCAGCACCACCTTACTCATCCACTGGGAAGTGTCAGGATTCTGCACTGTTTTCCAGCAAGGCATATTCTGTTCACCGGGAACCAGCTGCTGGGGCCCACACAGCTGCTAGTTATGCATCCCATTTCAAAATGTTGTCAAACACACTTAAAATGCCCCACCACGGGTGGGGGTTTGACTTAGTGGTTAAGACACCTATATCTCACACTGGGCTACCCGGGTTCAATTCCCGGCTCTGGCTCCAGTTTTCTGCCAATGCAGACCCTGGGAGGCAGTGGCGATGGCCCAAGTGACTGGGTTCCTTTCATCCACGTGGGAGACCTGGATGTAGTTCTTGGCTCCTGGCTTCAGTCTGGTTCAGTCATAGCCATTGCAGGCATTTGAGGAGTGGAGCAGCAGATAGGGACTTGTGCATCCTCTCTCTCTGTGTCTCTTTCTCAAAGAGTTAGTGATGATGCTATCATGAGCATATTGTTATAGACTGTACCTAACGAGTAAAAAGTTGAGCAAAGTGTGAAAAAATAAAAAACAAAATAGCAACCAGATTCTCAATTGCTAGCCACAGAAGTCCACTTTTTATTGAAGTATCACATACATATAGAAAAGCACCCAAATCCAACGGACACAAAAGAATTTTCACAAACTGAACACACCCAGAACGTGGCAACCAGAAACAGCAACCAGAAGCTCCCTGCGTGCCCCTGCTGATTCCCACCCCTTGCAGAGTAACTATTACCCCTACTTGCCATAGCGACCATTCATTCTCACTGCTGTGTAGAATGCCTTAGGGTGAGCATACCAGAATGTTTTTACCCATTCAAGATGAGCATCTGGGTGCTTTCTGGTTTGCGGTTATTACGAAGGGCTCCTATGAACATCCTAATGCATTTCTTTTGGTGAATATATGTACACATTTCTGGTGGACAAACACCTAGCAGTGGAATTATTAGGTCATGTGGCATTTACATCCAACTTAAGTGATTTCATGGAAAAATATGGAACATACTGGTTGGTGCTTGGAGGAGCCAAGAACTGATAGAAATCTGGAAGGAGATTTAGGAAGATGGGTGTTAGCACACATAGCTTAGTGGGGCCAAGCAGTGAGCAGCACTGGTCTTCCCAAGACCCTGCCATCCCGTGACAGGGTAACCAGGGGACGCACCTCCCTGTAGCCTTCCAGCTCTCCACACCTCCCCTGACAGATGACTGCCACCTTGGTAGGAGTCTCCTATCCCTTCATCTCCATGGCTCACAGCCCCCAGGCAGGAAGTCTCAGTAGCTCACCCCAAGCCACTGGCTGGTGCAGAGCTGGAAAGGGGGTGCGTGGGAGACAAGGAACACCTTCCTGCCGCCGCTTCCACAGTGGCAGGAGGGCACTGCGTCCCAGTCGATTCTTGTGTATCCCGTGGGAAGGGCTGGCAGACACTGGAGAGCCACGTTGAAAACAGGGCAGCTGTGTTACGCTGCACTCCACCGCCCACGCAGGTTCACTGCAGTCACCTTCCCCCGACTGTTGGAGGGGCAGGAGGCTCATTGCTGTGGCTGTGTATCTCACAGTCCATGTGTGCGCATGCGCCTTTAAGAAGTGGGAACTGAGTTCAGGAACACTTTAGAAGGGATGACCCACAAAAAGTGCTTCCAAAAAAGGTTTGGAAGGAGGAGGCGGGGCAGGAGAGAAAAGCACCCATTGGGGGAAGTAAGGAGGAAAAGGAGAAAAGAGGGAGGCAGAACGCAGGGACAAATAAAACCAAAGCAGGAGGAGGTCTGGGGAAAACTACAAGCACATTTTTCCTTGACCTGATTTTGCCACAGTTTTCTGTACTGTTCCAGTTTCTCGGTTTCTCTGATGGGCCTTTTCAGATTGTGCTTGGCTGTATCACATTAACGATGCTGACATGGGCCACAGAATACAGAGATCCTGCTTGGAAACCAAACCATAGGAGGACTGGAGGGGTCGTCATCACGCCTAGTGTGCAGTTCTGCTGTAGTCTGAGCACACAGCCTCCTAACAACATGGGTATCACTGGTGAGCTTTCAACAGCAGCAGTGAGGAACGAAGATGCACTGAAACCATTCACGCAGGGCGCGGGCCACTAGGTTTGCTTCTCCGTTAGGCACCGTGATGCTACTCATCCGACTGAGCCACGGTTATCCTGAAGTCACACATTCTTCCCTGTACTGTCTCTTGGCATTCAGTACCTTTGGCAGACAGGCAGGGGGAGTAACCGCCATCGCCCCTCGTGTGCAGGGGAGGACATCTGAGGTGCACAAGGGCTCGCCCTGGATCACACAGCAGGGCCCCGTCACAGCCAAGGAGACAGGCAGCTTCCAAACAGATGGAACAGAGCAAAGTTCACAGAGAGCTCTCTGCTCCCACAGCCTCTCCCCCTCTTTCCCCAGGGGTGCCAGGAGTCTGGCTTAGAAGGGGCCTGCAGGTTTGTCTCAGAAAACCCAAGCCCCAATCCACTGCCGCCCAGCTTTCCCTGGCGCGCCCAGGTCTCCTCTGCTACAGTCTGCGTGAGCACGCACGCTCCGCAGGCCTCCTGCCGGCACGGCTGCGAGGAGCAGGGGGTGGCTGAGGCCACAGGGTGCTACGGCCACACTGTACTACAGGTCATCTGCCTGCTTACCAGCGACCAAACCCAGAAGGCAGCATAGCTCGGGGCTCAGCGAGCGCTCGGGAGCCCCAGTGCCTGCACCACAGTTTCCAGCTTACTATCTACGAGGAGCCTTCCAACAGTCCATGAAAGAAAGGAATCATAACACTCTATGTTGACACAAAAAAATTTAAACCCATGAAATCATCACATGCACTTCCTGAAGACTCCTTGTATGAATGGATTGCCTATTTTTTTTTCTGCCAAAATACTAAGTTTAATTCCACTTTCCGTGAAGTTTTCCCACAACTCTACAACCTGGAACAGACTAGGCAATCTCTCTGCATCTCCCTTCTTATTCGCTCTCAAACGGAGCCACACCTTCGTGGTATTGACTGCGGGAGGATTAAATAACACAGGTGATGCTGGGGTGGGGCTGTCACACAGCGGGCTGCTGCTGCCATCACTCACCCCTGTGGGGGCAGGAATCCCCGAAGGGCTCAGTGTTGCAGCCAGATGGGCTCAAGTAATGGCGCCCACATTATAACTGCCGAGCAGGGGCTGGAACAGGGGGCAGCAGGAACAGGGAGTCTCTGCAGGGCACAGTCCCCCTTGGTCTGCTGCAATGTCCTCCCCATGGGTCTCCTTGTGGAAGGCCCACCTTCAGTGGCCAACAGGAAACAGCGGGAAGCCAGGGCCACCCACCAGCGTCTGGGCCACATGGTCTCGGGAAAACATGTGTGCAGAAAAATTCCAGTCCCATGGGTTGCTTCCCTTAAATGGGATAAAAACACAGGAGACAGAGAGCGCCCAGAACCACTCACTGCAGGAAGGGAGATGGCAATCTTCCCTGTGTATTTCACTGGATTAAGACACTTTCATATGATCTAAATGATTTTCAGTGGGGGATATTGGGGCACAGTTTTTCGATACACTTTCCATGGAAGCTGACTAACTTGGTGAATTTAAACTTGGGAATCAATGTTCGCAGATCTAAACCTTCCAATATGTACTAGTTCTTACGTGGCACGTTTGTTATTTGGTTATTAAAAAAAGTCTATTTTCTTTATCAGTAATGAAAACAACTTAAAAATGAAAAGAAAAAGGTGACAGTGAATGCCATGAAGAAACCAAACAAAAGAGAGAGAGACAAGCTCCCACCGTGGAGGCTGGGCAGGGATGGGTGTGGGCTATGTCCCTAAGCTAAGAGCATGCACGGTCTCCACCAGGGAATTTTACAGACGGAAAAGGAGGCATCGTCGGCACCGACTGCAGTTAGAGAATGGTACAAAAGAACTTCTTCTCTCGGAAGGGGTTTTCTGACGCAGGCACAGGACTGATGAGAGGGTCTTCCCGCACGTGGGCTTCACAGTAGGCCAGGAGGTCTGCAGCTGCCTGGGAGACCTGTAGGGACACACAGCACAGGTGCTCGGTCAAGGCCAGTTCACAGGACGGTTCACTGAGGGAGTCCCGTGGACAGTGGTGGGCAAAGGTGCGGCTGGCTGTGCGCGGCCAGCCAAAGGCCATGCCCAGGCAAGAGAGGACTCAATGCAAACCCCCAGGAGAGATGTGCCCTAGGATGGCAGGCAGCAGAGACACAGGAAAACATCCTGAAAGCTGGTTCATGCCACAGAGGTCTGTAACAGCTGGGGCCGGGCCAGGCTGAAGCCTGGAGCTGAAGTCTCCCATGTGCAAGGCAGAGACCCAACTACCGCAGCCATCATGGCCTCCTCTCAGGGTGCACACCAGCAGGAAGCTGGGTCAGAGGAGGAGGAGCCAGGACGCAAACCCAGGCACCTGATATGGGATGCAGGTGTCCCAGGCGGTGTCTTCAGTACTCCACTAACGCCTCCCCCTCTCCCCCAGTGGTTCTTGTTCTACTCTCAGCTGGGGGACAAGTGGACAAGTGGAAGCCCCAGGATCCACGCGACTCTGCTAACCAGTTCTAGAAGCGTACAGGATACTGCCCCAGCCACACCAGCACAAGCGTACTTATTTTTGTCAGTTCACTGCAAATCCACTCTCACTCCCCATAGAGCGAGGCCCTTCATCCTCCTCGACAGAACACATGCTTTCCCCGGGGGTGGCAGCTCCCCTGCGGCACAGCTGCCCCTCACTGTCACACAGCTCTTTCCACTCCAGGTTCCTTACGGGCTTATCTTCACCCGCTGGTACATGGCAACCGTGCATCCAACTGTCCCCAGCTCAAGTCCAGAGGGGGAGCCGAGTGGCACAGGGCAGGATGCCAGGAAGCATCCTCGAAGAGGGAGACAGAGCTACTGGCTCACTGTCCGTCATGCGCTTGGCTAATGAATCCCTGCACATGAACTCATCCTGCCCAGGAGCCTGTTCTGCCCGCACGTGCCTATCAGAGGCTCACATGCTGGGGTAAGCACACAGAGTCAAATGAAGCACTGTGAGAACGTGCAACGTCTAACTTTTCCAGAATGATACAAGCCATGCCACAAGTGGATGACAAAGTGTTTCAAACCACGCGAGCCACACGATTCCCTTCTGAGGTTTAACTCCCAACATTTTACACAGATTCAACCTCTGACTCCCAGCCAGGTCCACCTCTTTTTGCACATATTCCAGTTAATAACTCTGGTAGAGACATATGAGAATAGTGAATTTTTTTTCTCTCAAATACATCAACGTGAAGTTGAGATCAATTAACCTAAGTCCTGGCAAAGCCTGCATTTGTTGGGAGTGTGGAATGGAGAAAGTTCTACCTCCACCCCTAAGCTAGCTGTGTGAGCTTGGGGAAGTGACTCAACCCCTCAGAGCTTTACTTTTCTCATCTGCAAATGCAGTCTGCTATCTCTAAAGGGACTTTTACTCTAAATAGTAGTCTACGATCCCACCTTTGAAAGCACTGTGGTCAGCATTTAAAACCCTACGTACGTGTCTGCTGAGTTGTATGGGAGTGTTTGAAGTTTGTAGTGGTGGACAGGACACCCGTGCAGGAATCTCCCAGGGAAGAGGGTGCCCGGGGGAGGACCAAGGCCGCAGGAGACCTGCGCAGTCGCTGCCAGGGAGGCCGACTCCGTCCGCAGAGCTGTGGCCCATACACAAGCAGATGGGACTCGCACAGTGAGTACTGCAGTGCACGGCCAGACCCCGGGAGACAGCCCTGCGTGCCCCAGCTCATCGCCACCTCTTGAATAAAGGCCAAGTGCTCTCCCTGACCACCTCCGTGTCATCACCCTTGCCCCACAGCGGGCACCTCATCACGCCCTGGGAAGCACAGGTTGCTGGGTCTCCCCCATGGCCACCCTGGGCCACTGAATTCACCCACTCACCCCTCTGGCACCCACTGGGAAGTGGTGTCCGCTGCTGCCCAGCACAGAAAGAGGGCTGCAGCGTTGAAGCAACCACCTTCACCCTTGAAGGGCCCCAGCCTCTTGGATCTGCCAGACGTTGGCCCTGACCGGAGGGAGCTCTTCCAGGTTTTCATTTCTGAATGTCTCGCTGGACTCCTCCTTTCCATTTGCTCATCTAGTTCCTGTTTTGGGACATACTCCAGTTGATTCTGAATTCTCTCTCAGCCTCATTATCTCACCCAGGAAGTACTCACTGAATAGTCACCTTTTAGCTAATGGAGAGGATAGAATGCAGGGGAAAGAAAAGGCAAGATTTGGAAGATCTAACTGAGAAGATACACACGTTATGATGCTCCTGTAACAATCTGCACTCACAGAGGAGCAGCTGCATGCCACTGCAGCAGCCTGACCGGAGGCAAGGAGATGGGCCGTCCCCTTGGCAGCGGTCTCCTTGGTAAACCTACCGCCTTGCCCAGAAGGTGGCCCTTGGTCTTTTGGGCCCCAAAACATGACTTTCTGGCATACTGAGAATGGATCATTTTTTTGTGGAAGACTTATATTTGACAGGTTCAGGAGGTGGCTGCACAAAACCATAAAAATAACAGTAGCTAACATTTATCGAGTGGTCAGTATGTGCTGGCCATGGAGTTGAATCCGTCACCTAATTCTTCTGATTTACCCACCTAATTCTTCTGATAGGTACAATTTTTAAAATGGATTTCAATTCACACAAACTGAATATTGTATAATACAACATGATGTATTCTTATTTTTAAAAATTTTCAGAAAATATTTTACTTATTTATTTGAGAGGCAGAGTTATAGAGAGAGGGAAAGACAGAGAGAAAGGTCTTCCAACCACTGGTTCACTCCCCAAATGGCCACAATGGCCAGAGCTGAGCTGATCTGAAGCCAGGAGCTTCTTTCAGGTCTCCTACATGGGTGCAGGAACCCAAGCACTTGGGCCGCTTTCCCAGGCCACAAGCAGAGAGCTGGATTGGAAGAGGAGCAGCTGGGACACGAACTAGCACCCATATGGGATGCTGGCACCACAGGTAGGGGCTTAGCATACTATGCCACAGTACTGGCCCATACATGATGTGTTTTTTAAAATTTTATTTTCATTTGAAAGGAAGAGAGACAGAGAGTGAGAGAGGTCTTCCATCCACTGGGTCACTCCCCCAGATGCTGGCAACAGCCAAGGCTAGGCCAGGCTGAAGCCAGGAGCCAGGGACTCAATCCTAGTCTCCCATGTGGGTCAGAACTCAAGTACTCAGGCCATCACCAGCTGCCTCCTGGGGTACACATTAGCAGGAAGCTGGACTCGGAAGCAGAGTCAGAACTCGAACCCAGGCACTCCAATATGCAATGCAGGTCTCAGGAGTGGTGTCTTCACTGTTACAAACATGGTATTTTGCTATATGTATATGTTGTGAATGGCTAAATTGAGCCAGTGAACGTATTTATTACCTCAAATATTTATTCATATGATGTGTGCTGTGTAGTAAAAATTTTTTAAATCTACTCTTTTAGCAATTTCTCAGTATACATGATGAGGATTAGTCTTAAAGCTCTTGTACAGATGAGGAAACTAAGACACAATGGTTAAGAAGGCCACACATCTAGGACAGGAAACCAGAATCTGAAGCTAAGCAGTCTACACTGTACAGAACCCACACTCTCGGCCACCATGCCACAGCAGTGACTTACTCAGTGACAGTGAGATAACTGTCAAGTGCCCAGCACCCTCTCTCCTTGCAGATCAGCTAGCTACCCGGGAGCCCACAGGACCAGAAAGAAGAAACAGCCTGGCACCTAAAGTTTCTTAAGTCGCTTCATTTAATCTGGGGACAGTAAGTGTCCTTGGCTGAGACTCGCTCCTCTCCCCACCGGCCTGCGCTGAGAAGTGCTGGGACGGACACTGACACTGTGGCCTGGGAGAGTCTCCTCCCTCCAGGCTCCTGGCCTGGAAATCCCCCTTCCACCTCCACGTGGGACCCAACTACTGTAGTCAGAAGTTGGCCTGCTAAACTATCCTGACAGCATCTGTCCCCGGATCCATGACTGCTTACACAGAAGGCATTGATATTCGCCAGCGGTGAAATGGATTAGTTTAATTCTCTGCGCACAACCTGGAGGGGGCTGCTGCACCACCAACCAGAGCATCATGGCTGAGGCATTGCAGGAGGGGGCTCAGTGCTGGGGCTCTGGGGGACAGCCCGCGGGGCCTGCAATCCTCTCTCACCCTAGCGTGTCTTCCTGCCCTTGTCTGCCGCACCCTAGCAATCACGCTGTCACAGTCTGGCCTTGCCAGTGCCAAGCAGGGCTCCTTTAGGAACCGTTCTGTCACTTCCCAAAGGTGAGACTGGACTGGAGACCACAGTTGTTCTTACACTGCCTCCTTTTGTTAGGATTGCACTTCCGCTGTCCTGAGCACCGCTACAGTTCTCCTCTGGATTGTGGAGTCCTGACTTCCCATGTGTAGGACAGAAATGAACACATCATGAGGCCAGTATCAGCACCAGTTTAAGGCCAATTGTGTGCATCTCTTTTGGCTTCTTGCACTATTAATTTTCTAGATGCACTCAAGACTGATCGATACAAAGCTGCTGCAGCCTGAACGCCTCTCCAGAACTCATGCCGACTGCTACTGTGAGGTGCTAGGAGGAGGACCTCTACGAGGATGGTAAGAGCATGGAGGCACCACCCTGCCTGTGAACCAAGGCTGGAAGTGGGTGAGCTATCTTGGAATGGGCTGCTGAGAAAAGGCTGAGTCGGGCCCCATTTCTTTCCTTTATATGTCACCCTGTCTGTAGCAGACTGCTACCGCAGCAAAAGTGGACTATGACAGTAACACTGTAAAGGGTGGTCTACTCGGACACAGCTGTTTTTTTTTTTTTTGTTTGTTTGTTTGTTTAAGAATTATTTTATCTATTTGAAAGAGAGTTAACAGAGAGAGGTAGAACCAGAGAGAGAGAGAGGTCTTCCATTCCGCTGGTTCACTCCCCAAATGACCGTAACAGCCAGAGCTGAGCTGAAGCCAGGAGCCAGGAGCTTCCTCCGGGTTTCCCACCCAGGTGC